GTTGAGGCTTCTTCTAGAGCTTTAGGATGTAGAATGGGATTTGTATCGGAAGGCAGGGCGATGTGGCGATCAGGCTTAAGGATTGCAACAGCCTGCGCATTTCTAAGGATCAGGCAGCTTCACATTCATTAGCGAGGATCTGGTTTCTCGGGGCGGCCTTTCATTGCCTCGCTTTCGTGCTTGTGATGATTACGCGGATCTGTCGTTTGTCAGCCCAGGTCTTACGCATGAGATTTATGATGATCGGTATACTTAACTCACGGACGGCCAAGTAAGTCCTAAACCTTTACGCCACCAAGTTCAGGAAAGTCCTTGCGACCTTACGCTTGGGCTTAGAAGTCAAGCCCGCTTCACTGTTCCCCTCAGATCCTCATGTCCCCTGGATGACCCAGATGCCTGGGCCTGGACCCTCCTGGACCCTGACACCTACAAAGCGTTACACCATCTTTCCTGCGCAACATAAGACATCATGGAACCTTCAGCCTGTTCAAAGCCATCCCTTAAGCCGAATAGCTTGGCCCCCAAAGATCCTTCGTCCGAGGCTCTGCCATTGTCGCCATGGCAGGCGAGAAGTGTGTCAGCAGCTGAGTTCTGCTGTTGTTTTTGCTTGGCGGTGGCTACAGCGTGTACGCGCTTCAGGTTGTTCCGGGTGTATGTTTTGGGTGGAGCTTGGAGCTTTCACATTTGAACTTTACGAGAAGGTTGGGGCATAAAACTTGCGGCTCGTTTTTGGAAGATGGTTATGCCTCTTATTGTCTTGCTAGTAGTATCTGATGACAAATAGGCACTCATATTGGGTCTACAGTGAGTCTACGGGCCGATTACGGTTGCCATCGCAATTGCTTTTACTAGGCGTGCCTAGTCAGGACAGGTCCTTGTAGGCGGCTTGTTTGAGGCCTACTGATACATTGGGCCTCCGATTGCTTCAATTGCAGTTCAGCTTCGCTCATGGAAGGTTAGTGTCAAAGGATCTTGCCTTTGCTATTCAGCTTGCAGGTTCTCAGTTGAGAATAATACGGGAACATAATCCCTGTATAATCCATATACAGTATTCTCCATAATTCCCTACTAAGAATCAGAGTCCCATACTCGAAAGTGCCATATAAAGCTATACAGGATGAAGTATTCCCCTTGTGGTAGATTATGGTATATTAGAATATATTTGGAATATTTCGGCTTGGGGGGGGGGTAGGGGGGTTAATATCATGGGGAAGGGGTTGGGGCACATTAAGGCTGCGGGTGAGGAGAACTTACGATGGGAGTCAGGGGATTTTTGAAGTACAGCGCTACCATATGGAGCTGGGGGGGGCTTCTTGTCATCGGGCTTCTAATATATTGTCCTCCCTGGCAGCACTTGCATCAGAGTGCCAACATTTTCAATACATTGCAGAGAAATCATGAAGACAAAGCGACACGAGCCATGGTAACTGCTTACTGGGTCTTTGTACGGAACACGGGAAAATGACATACACGGAGTATATGGAGATGATATCCCTGGCCCCTTATTCCCTTTAAGTACCAGTAAGATCAAGCAGTTCCAAGCCAGCGTGCAAGCTTATAGACACCTCATTTCTAAGCAAACATCTATTCCTAGTGAGAAGCATCAGCAGGGAATGGCCACTCCTGCTTTCTGAACGGAGTGCGGGCCGGGGGGACAGTGCTACTGATAAATCTGCGTCAGTCAAACCATACAATGACAAGTGTTTACTGTGATTGCCACGATTTATTCTAAAATCCATATCAAAACTTCTCTGAGGAGCTTGGTTGAGTGCTAGTACTGACCGAGGTTGGCATCGCCGCAGATACGCGCTACGGAGTTAGCGCCTAAGGGCTACCGGTGGGCGGTGTGTTTTAAAGCCCAGTGCGCACGCGATGTGAAAGGGTTAATAGAAGCAGAAATTGGGAAATCCAGAATAGTGACTTGTCGGTATTTTTCAATCTCAGGAGGACCAAGACGTGTAGGGTTTAGTCTTCAGCAATGATGTGCCTTCAGGGTAGGCCCCAACAAGCAAGCCAGGTTCTTCTAAACAACACCTGAAGCCCCAGGGCTCCCTAAACCCTGCTCCCGTTCATTTCCATGTATTGAGGCGTGGCTCAGAGCTAGGAACTTGCAACCGGGCAGGTGATGCTGCTCCTCTGCTCAATGCTTATAGAGCGGGTCAAGGGATTAGAAACTTGCAGCGTATCATGTTATACTTAGGGCGCGTGCCTGAAAGAGAGCCTTGCATCACCACGAAAAGATGTCGCTGACAAAGCCAGAAACTTTTGATGTACGCTGTATGCTTACTTGCTGAGCAGCTTCGTTAATATGGCTCGCAGCTCCAGCGTTGTCTGCCGCTTATTCTCAGACATTCGTCACTTCTCTGAATCTTGGATGTAGAATAGAATGCGCATCTGACCCGACAGAATCCCATACAGCTCCGCATAATTCCGGACCCACCGTGCAAACTGACGTATGACATGCCATGAAGCCCCATGTTAGGCTGGAGCGTAGTATGTCATCCTCAAGGCCCCTAGCTACACTGTAGAGCTTGTGTGACCCCTTCAAAAAATATGCCGGTCTCTAAAACCAAGGGGACTCTGCAGAACCCTGAAGATGCCATACACACTCCCCGTAAAGACTTCTGCGTCGCCCATACGGCTTCTCATAATCACGGAACTTCCCCACAGAGGGATACATGTGCCCTAGAAGCTGATATAGACTGCATAGGAAGCCTTACACAATCCCAAGTGGAGCCCTAAATAACCTCATGGATCGCTCAGATTCGGCAGCTTCAAACAGTCAGCTGCAACAGGCAAAGGGTCAGTCGCACCTGGTTGCAGGTTGTCATCTGTTAGATGTCTTAACCCCACAGTCCAGACATTAGGCATGTAGTTTCAGTTCTATCAAGACCTTGTGTATGGCATAGGGCAAGTTTCCCTCAACCTTATTGAATGTTCAGGCAAACCCTAGAATAGTTGTTGTGATCGAGTGCGGCACTCCTTACTGAGCACCAGGGGGTAGTTTAAAACCTACCCAACCCCGCCCTCAACCTTTGGGAGTCTGATCCGGACGAGGCCTTGAGGTGATATCATGACATCCTACTAAGTGGCTCGAAAAATACCCCGAAGGCTTAATCGGCTCTCCCGAGGAAGTGTTGCGGAGCTTTTGTGTTGCGGAGTGTTCTTTTGCGCATGACAACGAGAGCTGTGCCAACATGATGTTGTTGACCCTGCGCTTCCTCACAAACTCTGGTTTGAACCTCGAAGTCAGATGCTCAACATGCTGCCCAAAGCCACAACCTTTAGCCACCCTACGAATCCCCTACAACCCCACTCACTCAACTTGGCCAGGCAGAAGACATTCCAAGTGCCTGAAGCTTACTTGGTCTAGGGCTACTGGACGCATCTGAAGAGTCACGACGATCCAGTGGGATGTTAGCATCTACCCTCGTGCGCTGTGGCGACTGATTGACCAAAGCTTCAAATTGCATGACGCCAACGCAGAGTTGTGCAGCACGTCCCCAATGCTTGCATAGCATGATTACCCTCATCACTGCAAGTTATGTCAAGTCTCCACCATGGGCCCAGCTTGGGGCCACAGCCGCTACAGTATGACTATGATTATTGTTAAATATTGCTAATACTATTGCTATGACTCATACTATTACTATTAGTATGCCTATTCATATTACTATTACTATGGATGATTGTTTCTTGGCACTGCAGTGGCTGAGGACCGATCAGTGCTACGTCGGACTTGCAGGACTTGCAACAGACGTGGCGAGCCTACCGGGATGTCTCATGCAAAGTGAAGTACCCACAACCATAATTGTAATAATCATAGCAATAATAATAGTGTTAGTAATAGGTATACTAGTTGTAAAATGGTGAGAATACAGAGGCAATGACATCTGCGATTTTCTCGAAATTGTCTCTATGGTATGTTATCCCTAAGAGGAGGGCCCTAAAACCTGCTTACAATGCCTTTGAATATGCCCGCGGGGCCCCCGATGGGTTGCTCAAGATTGAGATGTTCACCTAGAGAATTGCTCAAAGTCTTCAGGTGCAGACAATGAGCCAGCTATTGAACTTCCGCATGAAGTTGTTCAGCTTGCGGGAGGACGCTGAAGCATTGTAGTGCTGCTAGAACCACCGCTGTTGCTCCAGTTCCTGATACTACCACGCCCACCAACGCCGCTGCCGCTGCCGCACCTGCTTTGTACACCAGGAGCGTGTGATGCAGCCTCGGATGATTGGCAATATGCTCTCATCCATGCTGTGCGCCGCAGATCACACCTTGATAGAAGGCCTACGTATATGGTGTGTTGCAGTGTTCGGGTAGTCCTTTGATTTCAGTTCTACCAGCAACCATGGCAGGTTGTTGAGGTCATATACTGTCAGTAACACTTCCGCTCCAATACTACCAAGATGCAATTGCAAACCTTAGTCCTCAAACCTCCGTCTTGCATGAAGGGCTGTCGACTTCAAAAAGCACATATGCTATTTGGGTTTTGGTAGCTTTCATTTGAGTGTGAAATTCTAAAGTTTATGTGTTTGAGCGCTGTCTCCGCAAGGCTATCGCAAGGGGCCAGAAGCAATTGTTGTTACATGGGCAAGGCAGCCAATTCTGTTACCAATGCAGGAAGGGTGGGTGATCTCTACACAGCGACGTCCACCCTAAGCCCTTATATGTACTTTCTCTTGCCACGCTCAGGTCGATTTTTGTTAAGGTTTGAGCTGAAGCAAGGAAAGAAACTGCACCGCGACTGCCCTGAATGCTAATACGAATAAAGGTTTTTGGGAGGAGCTCCGGGAGTCTGGCTGCCTCTGCCATCCTGGCCTCCCTTCAGTCATGCCCCAAAAGGACACATTTTCCAAGGAATAGCAGTTGGTGGAGTACTTGTGGTTTAGGATTCAGGGTTCAGGGTTTAGATGTTTTACTTGTGTTGGGGAGGTGGCTGGAGATTTTTTATCGTCCTCTGGAAGTTCTGATCCTCAAAGATTGCGGCGAGGGACTGATGATGTCAGGTACGAGAAGCGTTTTGGGCCCTGGTTCACCGAGCCAGTGGTTGCAGGGCTTGACAAGGACCACAATCCGTTGCCAGCTCAGACTTACAGGAGATCTCGGCCCAAACTGTGGTTCTTTTCTTGTGGACATGTCATGAAGATCCTGATAGTGAGCAGGGGATAGAGAGCTCCTAACATTCAGAGACTGAGTATCTTCGTTACAACTGTATATTTGTACGTCTTTAGGACTGCATCTTAGTACTTTCAGCCCTTTTGCCACTCAAATCTCTGTGAGAGGTTCATTTGTGGTTTCGACTTCATCGGCTGCCTGTCAACTGCAGAGGAGCCACTGTCAGTGCAAAAGCTTATCTTTTGAGAGTTTGGCATTCGGAGTTCAGCGTTTTGGGTTCCAAGGATAGGGCTAACCCCCTTTATTGGCAAAACCAGTTGGGGCAAGCCGAGGCGGATGAGGCCAAGATGAACCATACTGCATGGCCTGAACATACAACTCCGAATACTCCAGCACAAAACCCACAATTGGAAAGCTGCAATCCGGGAACCATCTCATCCCATGCCGCCCCCCCCCCCCCCGCCCCCAAAAGACACACATGGGGACAAGCTTTCATGGAGTTATTGTGGCTGGAATCGAAGCACCTGGAGAGTCGACATGTTACGTACCATCATTGTGGAAAGTGGGGCCCAGAACTTGTACGGAATACTGATGGCTTTCGGGTCATTGCTCAACGATAAGCCGATAAGCCCTGAGAGCGTTCTCTCCTAACCCCAAACCCTGATTATTTTGCGTCGCCTCCAAGTAGTTAAATCCTGCATGCCCTGGAAATCTAGCCCGGCCCCTTTCGAAACCTAACCGACTCCTGTTCGAGGATTGCTGGATCCCCTGAAAGAAAAGAAGGCTACGCAACCAGTAGTATGTTGGGACCCCAGGGGTCACTTCGCACAAAAGACTCTCTGCAATGCAAATGATACACCCAGACCCTAACACCTACACTCCTGCACCCAAATTGCCAATCCTGTGTACACCCTGCGCCCCAACACCCAAACCCTCGCAATTGAAACCTATACCAAACGCTCCAAATCCCAGACCCCCAATCCCAAGTTCTAAGCCCCAAACCCCAAACCATACACCGCAAAACCTGATCTTATCAGCTTGCAGGACTTCGTGGTGTCCGGCACAACCTCGGATCAGCTCTTCGGCGTCTGCGAGTCCTTCTGGCGTCCGGGCCAGCCACCTACTGCATCAGACTTGAGGGTATGTGTATATATATATATATATATGGGGTACTTTATGTTGGGGTCCTCCTATTTATGGAAACTATCACATGTTGGTCTCAGGGTATTTTCCTAATATTGTGAGACAACTTTTAGCCCAAAGCTTTGGTAGAAACGCCACGTCCTCCACGCATAAAAGGACCGGCCACGAGCACTTGACATGTAAGTCCACATGCGATCGTAACATAATCCCTATCTAGTCGCCAGTCTCCCTTTACATCATGAAGATTTTCCTGCAAAGGGTTAGCGGGTATTGGACAAGTATTTAGCAATGCTTGTTGTTGGCTGGGGTTCCAGCCGGTTAAGCACTCCTGAGTGTGTCCTTGTGGGGTTCGGGCTACAAACAAGACGTGCCAGAAATTGACTGTATTCTCGGCCCGTTTAAGAATATTGCTGCAGCTGCACGGATCCCTATCCTGTTGTTCGATCCGCGTCTCCCAATCCCAAGGCATGAACAAGGACGAGCTGTTCGAGACTCTCTCCCAGTGCGCCGGCAAAGGTTAACCGCATGAGGTAATAGCTCCGCAGCACAAGACCCCAGCAGGGGCAGCGGAGCCCTGGGCCTCGACAAGCGGGAGTTTCCAGGAACAGGCAATATAGACCCCATCTACTGGAAGTTCTATTCCAAGTCTTAAAAGCCACAATTTGTTGCTGGGATTCTTGGCAAACCTAACAACTCCTGACGCAGACCCAGGGATCACCGATACTATTCCCTAACAATCCGTGTTTCAGTATAGTGAATCTGAAGCGTACCCCAAGCCCTACTGTCATCATTTAGGCACCTACACTGCCCAGTCTGCCGGAGATGATTTTGTGATTCTAGCTTCAAGATCACTCAAAAACATATCCTAGACCTAAAGCCCAAACTTCATAGTTCCTTAAACCCTAACCGCAATTTCCGCTTCAATCTTCAATGTCGTTGTCCATTCAATTCTCCAGTCTGAACTCCAAAATGCTGTATGCCAGGTGCCTGCTGTCAGGCGTGGATCGAGACTGCCTTGCAGGCTCGAGGAGTAGGATCGTTCAGGCATTCAGGCGACCTAGCTTTGGGTTCCTTATAGTGCATATATCTTGTGTCTAATTTGGGGGACCACAAGAAAAACCACGAGTGATTGTCAGGACTATATTACCTTTCTAAGAAGGCCCTGAAAGTCACGCATTGCTGTTTGGAATTTAGGAGTAGTACTGCGAGTAGTAATTAGTGATGCTTTAGAGGTCCTGTTAGCAATCAGTATATCATTTTGGTGACTAACTTCGATACATATCCATTTGGCGGTCGTAGCTCTATCTATTCTACAGCCGAAAGCCAGGATGGGGTGGTGTTGTCCACATCATCACGCCTGACGAGATCATCACAAAGAAGCTGAAGGGACGTGCGGGCCTGAGTACTTCCACGGCTTTTTGTGAAGCACCCGCTGCCCCTGGTGCCAACTTACTGAAAGTGCAAGTACGACAAGTAGAAGTAAACTGGCTTCTGTTCCTAACTGGGTACCGGCCAACCCCTTCTCGCAGAGCGCATGACTTGCAGATGCATGACACCGTATCTCCATAGTTGCCCACCGTGTAAACTTGCGAGCAACTGTGGCTAGCATCTTTCGCAACTTCGCTGTCACTCTTTGCACATGAGGGCTCCGGCATGCGGCGCATGTTTTGAAACCCGCGGCTTTTGGAAGCTACCATCTTGCAACCTGCTCCCAGGTATGGACTAGAGCACATGCCACGGAAGTGAGCGCGCTCGGAACTGCTCACTGATACTCAGTAGGGGAGTGGCGAATGAGGCAACGAGGCGGGGCGCAGCGAAACCTCGATGATCATTGAGTTAGGAATTAGGCGCTGCCTCCGTAGTACTCTACATGATGGATCCAGTAATCCTTCGCCCATTTCCTACAGAGTACCAGCGAGACCATGGAGAGGATGCGATCAAAAGCGAGTCAGATTGCTGCCAACGTATAGGAAGCACGAATGTTACCTTGTCTTGCAAATGTCTGTAAATCGTGCTGATACACATGGAGATGAAGACTACGGCAGCAAGAACCATGAAACCCACGGTAGCGTGACCTGTAGTGCCCACAAGTTGAGAACCCTGAAAGGCAACCTGCCAGAGCCATCTTTACATCAGGGTCAGAGTATCCCAGTATTACGTCACCACATGCTTCCCCAAACCTGAAGCTAGAAACGCTCTGCAATAATCAAGTCCCACCATTGACTAGGTACTTTGTCGTTGAGTGTCTGTCATTCTCTGTACCAGCATTCCTACCCAACCTTTTATCAGAAACTCGTGTGAGCCACAGCATCCCAGCAAGAACCTGTGTGTGATCAAACCTAAACCATGTAAGGACGTGTATAAGCCTAAAAGGCGACGGCCCACAAAGACCTGTGTAATCCATAAAACCCGAACCCTGTAAAGATTGTTGGATCCCGAAGGCCAAAGGCCCGATACCATCTACAGATCTGCTAAACTCTCAAACCGAATACCTTGTTGCAGGATCCCTATATCCGAACCCTCTAGAGACATTTTTACCTTCCAGTATTTCAAACCTGATACAGCATCATGCTAGGCTTACCTCTAAAACCTAAACCCTAAACCCTCAACAAGCAACCTTCAGGGCACTTCAGAGCCAAAAGGGCGAGCTGCACAGAGATCGCAGCTTGCTGGCGTGGCCCTCACAGCGCCAGCCTATGGATGAAAAAGATTGCTTGCGGGGAAGGGGGCTGGTTTCGGGGGCATCGGGTCTAAGGTTTGCAGGGGGCCTTGTAGGGCCTACGCTTTAATTAAGGGTTAAGGGGTGAAGGATTCTCGTGATTAGAGCTTAAGGGTTACATTTAGAGTTCTCAGGGTTTCGGGCCAAGGGTGTTGGGATCAGGACCTACGTAGCGAAGTGGGCTACGGCTGTGGAGTCGTGTCTGTACTTAAATCTTCTGCATGCTAGGAAGGCAAAGAATCCGTTGGCTGTAGCACCTTGCGGCTGCGGTAGCCAGCAAGGATACCCTGCCCAGACTATTATGCGTCTTATTATTGGGATGAGTATCAGCATGACTAGTAGAATTACTAGCTCTTGGTAATTGTGTTAGTTAGCAAGGTTTCCTGAATTATACCACCCGAGGAGCTACAACGAGAGGATGCGGGGTTTCCAGGAACAGCCGGATCAGATGATGGTGACCCAGCCACACACGCCTTACCAGGGAAACTAAGGACTATGATTGGACCTGCCTCGTAGCCCATTTGAAAAGTGCAGTGTCTTTGTGGGGCTCTTCTTAGTTTGGGAAGGATACTCTTGATGAAATGTAGACCTGCCTGCGTGTTTGCAGTAGAACTGCTGTTGCCATCACGGCGGCCCCGTTCAAAGTTGCTACCTCTATGTTATCCGAATTGTGGCTGTGGTTTGCGATTCACACCGGTGAGCTCAACAAGAACAAGAAAGCAATGCAGATGCCTAGTGATCCGTCTCCTTCATGGACGCTGACCCCAATTCGCCGCCATTGCCAGCCTTAGTTGCACACACATGAGGAGCTGCCAGGAAGGCACGCATGATCATCTCACTTGCATCTTTCCAGGCGTTCTTGTGTCCAAGTGCACAGTCGAACAGTATAGTTACAACAGCAATGTGGCGCATTTGTTTGCTGTGCCTCGTCAGATGGAGACTGACCAAGAAACAAATCTAGAACCCAAGGCAGGCAGCTTGTGATGAAGGTTGTCAAAAACATGGGAATCAAACCCCCATTTTTAGGTTGGACAGATAGGAGCGTCTCAAATGCAGAAATGGTTCCCTTAAGAATGCCAGGGTATAGCGAATTGTCATGAAGTTGTAGCCGGGAGTATCCTCGAGATATTCAAGAGACAAGACGAAGACTGAACGCCACCCAAGTAAGCGGTCTTGTGCTTCCAGGCTTTGGATAACCAGGTTTTGGATTACAGACGTCCGTGGTTTCTTGCAACCTGTCCTACTGGCCGGGGCACATAGGGAAAAACCGAGCCTCCTGCGATGATGCAAGGTTTTCTGCAAGTTGTAGGGAATATTAGCTCTACATTGAAATTGACGGTTTATTCAAGGATGGTTATCGGGCCACAGATCGCTTAACCAAGCAAGACCAGCCCATCACCCCATGAGGCCTTGACCAGTTGGTAGATTTTTTGGTTTTTACATTGCTGGTGCACCTCAATACATTGACCCAAAGTTCCAAAGCCTCACCACCCCCGTATACCACCGTATCATTACTTCCTCCCAACCTTCAGACCTCAAGCCCGTAAGACAGACACTTCAAAACTTCAAAATCTCAGATCTGGGCTCAGCACCTGCACTGGACAGGCTTACCTGGCTTTTACCCTACACAAGACCTTCCAGCATGCTATACTGACATACACCAAAAGAGCACTTGCCCAAACATTGAGGATTCTTCACGTCATTTAGAATGCCTAACAACACCTGGTTCAGCTGCCCGGTCCCAAACCTGAGAAAGATTCAAAGCCCTGTTCTCTACAATGACGAAGTCCCTAACAATACGGGCTTTGTCTGAGATCTCTATGCGCCGGGGCGCTTGCTGCACCAGAGGGAGATGAAGTTCACTCCCTTCCCGGGTGGCAGGGGGCTCTCTTCTCGAAGACGTACTCAGGTGCGGCCTCTGAATAGCGCATTGCTACTGCTGCTTAATTAGACAACTACAGAATCTATATCTGGGAAATGTCAAGCCAAATTGAGACTGCAGCGGTGGTTGGAAGGCTATGCGTGGTAGGTCTTTGCTTTTGTAGTGCCCCGATGTCCTGAGTCAGGCTACATTGCAGCTGGCGAAGAGGATGGTCATGAGATGTTCGAGCACTATTTGTTCTTTGAGAGCGAGGGCAGTCCATCTAGCGACCCGCTACTTGCTTGAAGGTCCATTTTATTTTCCATTACCCCAATGTAACCCCAATATAACCCTAATATAACCCCAATGAAACCCCAATGCAACCCTAATATTACCCCAATGTAACCCCAATGTAACCCTAATAGAACCCCAATATAACCCCAATGTAACCCTAATAGTACCCCAATGTAACCCCAATGTAACCCTAATATTACCCCAATCTAACCCTAATGTAACCCTAATCTAACCCCAATATAACCCCAATGTAACCCTAATATAACCCCAATATAACCCCAATGTAACCCTAATATTACCCCAATGTAACCCCAATGTAACCCTAATATTACCCCAATGTAACCCTAATGTAACGCTAATCTAACCCCAGTATAACCCCAATGTAACCCTAATCTAACCCCAATATAACCCCAATAGAACCCCAATATAACCCCAATATAACCCTAATATTACCCCAATATAACCCCAATGTCGGGCCAGCTCCTTTAGCTCACAGACGCAACCCCTTTGTATGATTTCATTTCAGTTCATCACAAAAAGCACATGGAACATATTGGGTGGTTGTCAAAATTATGGTCCTTTTTTGGGTGCCCTAAACATTAGGTGCCGTATTAAAATAGGGATCCAAAAAGGGACCATAATTTTGACAACCACCCAGATTGAGGGGTTGAACTCATGTTGAAGGAGGGCTTGCAGTGGGAGAAACACAGGATTCCCGAGGGCACTGGAAGCCCACGAAGACTCTATGCTGCGTTTCAGTTCCCGTGATAACTCCGTGGAAGCCGGCGTGAAGCTGTTAAGCCCAAACAGAAAGCCGGAAATCATAAAATGTAACACGAAAAAAACACCCTAAAATCGAAACCCAAGCTCCGGAAGATCCCTGCGCCCTCGTCCCAAAGCAAGTTGATGGAGAAAGCTGCCGAATTCCATGTCATCTCCTGAAGAGCATATGTAGAACGTCATACTTATACATACTGCCTCCTACTGTAGTAATCAACATACCTCAGGAGTTGCTTTGTTCCGTTAGGCTCCTCTACCCCATCCTCAACCCAAACCATAAGAACCATAATTCAACAATTCAAAGCCGCAAGTCTTCTTTCATAAATCCTAAGCTCTCAACCTGACATACCAGGCTGATCATGTGGACAAACGGTGGTCCCGGAGCTTCATCGCTGTTGGGCTCTTTCACGGAGCTTGGACCGTTTCTTGGTTCAGGTTCCTGAGCAGGCTTTCATGAACTCAGAGGTTCCGGCATGGGGTTTCGAGTTTTCATGCTGCAGGGCTCTCATTTGTTGAGTGGTTTGTGGGGTCGCTGCAGTATAGAGAATGGCTTAGGCATAGGCATTTTCTTGGGGTTCAGGGCTTGTTTTTTGAAAGGTTGTGTACAGATGTTGAGGGTGATGGCTTGAGTTTTGAGAACTTTGGCTGAACAGTGGTGGGGTCTGCTCACGGGATGCATTTGAAGTTGCCACTCCTGTGGCACGTACTCTTGAACCACTCTGCCAAGCAGCTTCTTTCACAACAAAAGGGCTCGTGGTGCGTGATCTTCCGGCATTTGTGTGCATACGATGTCCGAAGATGCCTTGACAAGCTGATTGCTGACCTGAGAGCATGATCCCAGCCTAGACTGCCCCTCAAAATCAATTTGCACGGAAGCTCATGGGTTGCATGCTCATTTGGGGGTAGGGGTCGTTTATGATCGCTCCCCCTCAACGTTCCAGTCCCCCAAACTAATGGTCTAGACCCCAGTCTAGACTCTCAACCCTGAACTCCTCATTTGCCCTGATCCGAGAAGCGGCATCCTGAACCAAGGTACTATTTGTCCGATGCTTCCTTGCAGACGGAGGCCTTCCAGCGCGTTTGGTGTTCTGGGTGCTCGAAAAGTTCACATCAACTGCAGGGTTTTTAAGGGGGTCCAAATCAGTCCGGCTTCTGGGTGTGCATTCGGCATCGGGTCACTAGGAATTGAAGTGTGCTCCGGGGCTGCGATTCCTGTAGACTCCAGAGCCTACCCGACCTACTGGTAGCCCTAAGTGCCGAAGTGCCATGATGTCGTCATGGATCAGATCATCACTATTCTGTTCGTTGTGTAGGCCTGGCAGATTATCACAGATGTAAGACAACAGATAGCATAGTGCAAGCAGGAAGGAGTATTGAAATAGTTTGTCTCAAAATTTAGGGCCCACGTGTTCAATAAACCCATGAGTCATGGCAGCTGTCACTACAGGAATATCGCAGTACTGGTGTGCCAACCCTCTTTGAGAACTCCAACCGATGCCTGGATGCATGCAGACCGGGGTGCTTGCTTCAAAATATCAAGTCGCCACTCAGGGGCCCACATTATTTGATTTGGATGTTGGAGATTCTTCGGGACTTTGGGGGACATACTTGCAAGTCCTTCAGGGCTCTTGATTCGGGGGATGAGCAAGGCACTGTTACGATTTCATTGGCTGTAGTATTAGGCCTTCCAAATCAACAAGTCGCAACCTGCCTGTGTGTCTTGGAGTGTCATCCTTCAAGGGGAAGCCCAGCAAGAATCGATAACAAGGAAGGATGACTTTGGCATGTGCACAGGTAGCTGAGAGTGGCTCATGTCGTTGAGTTAAACGGCAAGCCTGCTGGCAGCAACGCACGCCACGGCTTCGCTTGTACTTCCCAAGTTACCTAAGGGCCTTGCCTGCCAGGATGGACGAAGCTTGGCTCCCTGCTGATTCGTAACTTGCCACCCCCGATTGGCTTCTCTTACTGCAACCCCATCGGGCCGAGCGGCGACGGGCACCTTATCTAAACCACGCTTGACAATTGTACTTCTTCTGCTTTTCCATTCCAAGTCCGAAGCAATAAAGCATCATGTCATGATACTTCTGAAGTGAGCTGCAGAATCAATCTTTTGAGTTGCTTCAGCTTGAGGTTAATTACGCCTCTTCCCCAAAGCTGTTGAACAATTATACACCCTGTGCTGGTTTGGAGGGGAGACATCTAACATGAGAGGATGGAGGGGGTGCTTGTTCAGATCCAGGGGAAAGGTTTCATTCTGTAGATCAGGCCTACAGGAGCCTTCTTAACGCTCTAGGCCATGTTGATCCGAGTATGACAACACCCCAAACTCCTGAATCCTGGGACCTAGAGAACCAAAATTCCGACTCATCACAAACTCCTCTAATCCAGACGCCTGGCGATCACTTGATTATACTGGACTATCTGGGACATACTTGACATAGTCAGAATGTTCGCTTACAGCCCAAACGAGAGCAGAGATCCAGAATACTGTCGGCTATATGCTTGTCGAAATTTGGAGGGAAACAAGAAGAAGGGTACACTCTCCGTGAAATGCCATGAACCTGGGCATCTTGTTCAATGTTATACCGCTATAAGCCTATAAGAATCCATGAAAGATCGCCAGGTCCCATACTGCAAAGCCCTAGAAACGGCTGCAATGAAGTCATCTGTAAGGACTAAATCCTAAGCCGAAGTAAGGTGGTAACTTCCATACATGGGGGACCCCAATATAGACCCCAAATACGATGGTCCGCATTATACGGACACCCCAAAAGGGGGGTCCCTAATATTGGAAGACCCTAAGACACATAATCCGTATGTATTGTTTTCCAATGTCTTTTCCATTTGATTTTCCATTTGATTCTCCATTATTGGGGGTAATCCCTAATTTTGGGAAGCCCTAAGCCCTAAACCTTATATACCCCTATAGAAACCCTATTGACCCTTTAGATACCCCTAATTTTGGGAAACCCCCAGGTACAGCTGCGGCTCCTGGAACGACACAAAAACTGCGAAGCATAGCCTCTACTTCATGCAGCTTGACCTGCCAGTAAGCTCTCTTTAGGGTTTAGGGTTTAGCTCTATGTCGGGGGGTTCCCAAATTGGAGGCCTTTTTGAGAGTCCCCATAATGAGGGCTATGCTTGAGGCTTCTTATCCGGGGAACCCCCCAATTGCAGCAAGTGATTTCCTGATTCAATCTTACCGAACTTTCCGACTTGGCGCCCTTGTGGGACACCAAAACGTCGCAGAGTTTGGGAGGGGGGCTTCTTGTTGACATCCGATATGCTGAGTGTGGTCTCGGTTTTCCTGTGGATTGGAACATCCTACAGCGCCCCATGATTCCTAACCTGAGAAAATGCAGCGCTTCAGCACTACATCCGGCACGAGGCGCAACATGCTTTGAAGTGTTCATCTGCTGCCTGGCTTGACCCTTCAGGCTTGGAGAAAAACTACCGTCCCAGCGCCGTCAGCATAAACAGGGCAAAACTTGAGATGTCCAGTTGGCCACGTTTCCACTAACCGTTTTCGCAGAGCTTAACATCTATATTATATTTTCATCAAGGCCTCCATGTTAAATTGGAAGAGAAGCAAGGGAGCTTTGTTTGAGGGGGAAGACATTGCCATGCTGATGCCTGATAGAGGTTCCACCAGTACTGTCCCTTAGCTCTCTCAATTGCAAGACTTCTGACAGCTTGAACCCCGCACCGCACAATCTAAGACAGAAGCCCCCTACAGGTGTCAGGGTATTCCCACGCTACTCCCGTTAGACCTCTATTCCTGCAGTGACTGGCCTATGAGTCTACCCGTCCTTCTAAAGCCAAAAGCCCCGACTCCTCAAGCTACAATACTTCCAGCCCACAGTGAGACACCTCATCCAGACCTTTGACTTAATGAGTCCCACCTCTGTTTATGCGTGCTGAAGTCAGGATTCTAAGCCTTATACATAACTGTAATTACGACTGTGGACGACTACAGAAACCTGAAAGGAAGCTCCAGACTTTATGATCTTATCGCCATTGCCAGGCAGAACTGGATGAAAGCCTTCCCGGAGCACCTTGCCTGGTATGGCTTCAGGGTTGAAGGCCATCGGCTTAGCGTTCAGGGTGGATCCTTGAGTCGTTGGGGGCTTAGGGTCTTGAGGGATAAGAGACAATTATTGAGGGATAAGCGACGTGTATAGGGAGTAAAGGAGTTGTAGGTGCAGGTCTTACCTTCATGGGAAACCCATGATGAAGGAGTGGAGTTTGGACGCTGGCTCAGGGTGTTCGTGCTTCATCGCAGTATGAAGGAATTCACAGAAGGGCTCCAGCACAATTCGTTGGTACAGGCCCCTTTCGATTCAGAAGAGCCGCCATGTCCCACCATGCCTACTTCAAACGTTCGTAAGTCCGTAGACGAAACATACAATGCCAACTGCGGTGGCACTTGCCTGTAAATGAGGGTGTTCTCGTCGGAATGTTTGCATGCCACTTTTCTGCGACTGCGACCCAGGTACTCTTCCAATCGACTCTTCCTGATCGGCGAGTCTTATGCCGGCCTCTATGTACCGGGGCAGATTACGATGGGTTCGTGGGAGCCTGGGGAATTGGACACGCTCGCGGTGCTGCAACGCTCAAAGAGTGATTATGGTCGCTGACGTTCCAAATCCCACGCTGTCTCAGAGACCAGAGAAGAGAGACCCTACATATTGATGTCAAATAACGAAGCAGCATCTTGTTCAACCGAGTCTACAATCTGCACATAAACTACACAAAACAAGTCATGCTGGAGGTAATTGGGGTCCATGTAGTGACCCAGGTGCCCATGTTGGCACAGCAGATCCTGGATGCTGGCTCCTTCCGACTGGAGGGCATAGCAGTCGGCGATGGCTGCCTTGGTGGCGGAGCGCCTTCCTCTGGTGAAGTTAGAAATTCAGAAAGTAGGGTTTGAGCATTGGGGCAGATGGTTAGGATACAATGTGTGGGTTTGTAGGGGGCTTGGGGTTGGAAATGTCAAGGCTTCAAAGGTGCAGGATTCGTGGTAATGGGCGTATTTTATCTTTAGAGATTTGTTCAGCTACTATGGGGGATTGTATAGGTCCTACTACTAGAGATCCATTCCCAACAGTTTGGGTAGCTGTAGGGTTTGCTCAACGTCGGATCAAATGCCTGTGGGTGCTTGGTGAGTGGAGAAGCTGATGCAAGGTGTGACAAGCAGGGTGAGGTAAACCTAGGCTGCTTTGTAGGATCGGATCGACACTTGAGCTTTCCTAGCGCCTGAGGGTCAGAGAGTGCATGCTTGGGGGTACTTAAGCTCTGGGAGTCTGGGAGCACAATGAAATGAATGAGTTTTCTTGGCAGTTGCTGAGCATTCCCCTAGAAGGAGCTGGAAGACCAACCTACAACTGCCGAGACAAGTCTTCGAGTTTTGCAGTTTGGTAGCTGCAGACTGCCAAGTTTCTGTGCACTGGAAAAGGCGCGTCAACTCCAAAGAGCCCAGCATGGTGCTACTCAGGGCCGACACATTCATGGTGACTGGCAGAATCCCTCATCTCTTCCCGAAGACCAGGAGCATGCGAATCAAAAGACACCGCGCAAGCTAGGACAGCTGCACCCGACCTCAACCCAAATTCTGGTTTGTATGGTCTTAATTATACAATTTCAGGTTCTGAAATGAGCGTAATTGCAGCTTCTGAAATAGGGATGAAATTGGCAAGCAATAAATGCAGGTCTCATATCAATTCTCCAGAGTTTGTGCTATGTTCCCCGGAACCCCCTAGTCATTGGGAGTTGGGGCCTCCTCACTCTTGCTTTGAGAAGTGCCCGAATCAATTCTGCAATCTGACTGCCTGCTGGTAGGAACCCCCCACGCGTAAACTCACTAGAAGCATGTGCGTTCCCCACGAAGCGGCAGCCAGAAGCCCTCTAAAGCGTAGTCCGTCGCTTCTCCGGACACTGTTCAGAAGCCCGTCCAAGCATCCAATCATTGAGGATCTTCTTTGGCTGCGTTTGCGGTTGTAATGATCAGTGCACCACTCCAAAGCACTGAACTCCCTGAAGCTAGGGCAACAATGGCGGATGCGTGCCAAATCCGGGTCCCTACTTCTCCGTGGAGTTCTTCCATGGCCATGGTCAGCCGTTTTGTCTGCAACATCAGGGGCTGGGGAGCGATATAGGGTTAATACAGGGGCTTATGCAGGCTTTTGTACGGGTTATGCAGGGGTATGATGTTGCTGGAGTTTTAAAGCTGAGACAGCTTTACTTTGCGGTGTAAGTTGCATTGAAGAGATTCAGTTCTGACCAGTAACCGCCATAGATGGATCTCTAGCCAGAAATCCCCAGCTGGCAGAGGCGCAAACAACAAGACTATTATAAGATAGTAGTTTCCATGTTCTTTTCCATTATCCCTATATAACCGCTATATAAGCCTATAATCCCTATATAACCCCTCCTATACCCTAAACCCACCTAAACCCTCCAGGAAGACCCTTGCAAGCTGCCTCTGTTGCAGCAAAGGTTCTCGGACAAGACCTACGCAGAGATCAAGAACATGTGCTCGCGAGAGGACAGGGCTGACCTCAGCCTTTCATTTGGGTTGCGGTCAAGGAACTTAAATGGGTGCAAATCAGGGGTACCTTTTTGGGGGGCAACAAGGATTATACTATTTGGAGGTCTTTCTTGGGGTCCCCCTAGTTAATTAAGGAAAAAGACCAAATCCAGTTACCAAAGTAGGAAACCGTGTTATCTACTATGTATCCCTATTCCGGGAACTTTATTCAAGTTCCTTAACACCAATCCAGTCATTTCCACCCTGTGAACTTGGAGCTCCATCGGTGGTCAGAAGTGAGGACAGATGTGCCTCTTAGAGGATCATCTCTATGATTACCCACTTCTTAACTGCACTTGCAACTACCATGGAGCTCCGCCGTAGGGCGTAGGGGTCCCATTCACCGGCAGGAGTCTGCAGGATTGAGTTTTAAGCTCTTAAAGGTTGGGAGCAGCATCGCTGAATTTCATTATGCGAGATTTGCGAGTCAGCCTAGGCCTCTGCATACGCAACTCTACAGCCTACAATCCCTAAACCCAAAACCCCATAATCATCTGATTAATAAGAAGACATACAACCAGTAGAACTGCGCAGGCTGGGAATATAGATACTCTGTAGGCCCGCCGGGGTCGTACGTAAGCAACTATGGAACCCCAGCGCAGGCATGACAAAGACCACCGTGCTTCAACAGAGTCTTTGGTGGGTTCGCTACTTTGTTGAGGGTTGGCAAGCTGGAAGGGTTTCTCGCGAGAATTCGAGATGTACTGTATCTTCCCTTCTGCGGCTGAGATGCAGGAAGACGTGGTCATGGTGGGTATCCAAACTGCTTGAATTCCAGAGGAACCCTGCATGAACAGCCTGCTAAGCTACAAGAAGGCTTAGTGGTAAGGTCTCACGACCTTCCTGAATCCTTCGCCGGAGGAGCTGGTGAATGGAGCGCAAACTGAGAAGTGCCATGCAGCCCTAGACAAGATGGACAAAGAAAGAGGTGGGATTGCAGAGGGATCTAGCGGAACTCCATCAGGTTACCGAATCAGGTTCAAGTCTTGAAGTTCAGGGTGTTGAAGCAAACACGCTCGTTTGACTGACTGGGACACGCGAGCAGAAGGGTGGGATCAGGTTTTGAGTAGTCAGCTTTTGCATACCATCCGAAGCCTACTGGAAGATCCCAAGGCCCAAAGCAACGTGGGGATAGTGGAGAACCAAATGGAAGAGAAAATGGAATGGAAACTAGGGAATATACAGGGAATGTTATAAGGTTATACAGTGGTGATATTGGTCCAAGGTTGGCTAGCGAGAGGCTCGCTACATGGGCCCGGAGGGCCCTTTCCCATGAAATAGTGTAATTTACTGGGGGTTAGTAGGGAATACAGGAATACATTGTATAGGGGTTATGTAGGGAATATGATATTCCCATATTCCCCACTAACCCCCTGTAAGGTAAAGCTTTGGAAGCAATCTAGTTCAGATGCCTTTTCTGGAAAGGGAATACAAGAATCCATCCCAATGGCAGCACCTTTGGCGCGGAGCGTCGGAGCTCTGAACTCACCGGTTCGTAGTAGGGAATAATGCTATAGGGGAACATAATCACTATAATATATGGCCCCCATATAATAACATATTCCTATCAACCAGTGAGTGAAGCTGCCACAGAGGCTATAGCTTCGATTACAACCTCTATGACGAGTGCTATGACTTCGACCTAGCGGAAGCCCGGTTTTAGAAAACCTGGCTGTAGTAACATTACTTGGTTAACAAGGAGTATGCATACGGTTCAGAATTTCGGTTTGGGGCTCTGGGCACGAGCCTTCGGTTCCAATTTTGGCTTAACGATGTACATGTCAGCTACCTCAAGATGCTCTGCCAGCATGGATTTCACGTATGCAGATGCATAAGTTGCTCTAATAGCAATGTGCAGCAAGTGGGCTGTTGCGGTTCAATGTGATTCAATTAGACTTGGGTGTTGGAAAATGTTGGAAACCGCGCATATGTGAGCTGTAGTCTAAACTCCTAGTATATCCTCTATAATAGTCCCCTACACAAGCCCCTATATAATCCCTTTAAGGAGTTTAGACTATAGCTCATGTGACCTTGCAAACAGGTACTGAGTGCTCTGTTGCGAGGTCTTATTCTTCTTGCTTTCTTTATCTTGATTTGGTGCCAGCGAAAGTAAGATGTCAGGATTCGAGTCATGTGTCATTGCATGTGCCCCATTTGAAGAGGAGTGCCCAACAAACTTCGCAGCCCCCGCACTACAGTGAGGTTTTTTTGAGGCCACTGCAGCAGAATTTGTGTTTGTTTGTTATGTGTTTTGCCATATGAGATAGGCATGACAAAACAAGCACGACAACCGAGAACCAGTAGAGAGCCTTGAAGCCAGCCTAAGCCTTGAACTGCCCCTGACCCTCTGCATCGCTACCAAAACCTCGTTGCGGCACGATGCTTAGCCTGGCCGAGCCCTCACAATCCTCCAAAAGACGCTTCAACACTTCAAAATGCTCTCAAGCCACCACGAGCTAAGGGACCTTCGCATCAACGTCGTAGTGCAAGGTGCGGGGTCATATGTGTGATCTAGATTGGCTTGCAGCTAAAGCGTGTTTTACAAGATTGCACGGTATGAAACGCCTAGTGCAGCAAGATCAGAGCATTTTTGGTGGCTTGTTCTGGGGATTCCTCGCGGCAAACTTAAACAACATGCTACCTGAAGTGCTGAACCTTGTCAGCCCTAACCTGGACTGTGCATGGAGGAGCCTGGGAATGTGGCAGTGTACAGGTAGTTTGGGGCGCCTAAGCTGCCTGACATAGTCTTGCGTAATCAGAAGCAATGTGCTCTTCCCCCACAAGAAGCGGTCCTTCTTCCTTGGTTTTGGGTATCAGCTTTGATAGTTGACGTTGATTCTGGGTCTTGTTGTGATGCAACAAAAACATAGTTGTGACCCAGTGTTGGGCATCTCCGTCATGGCATCCACATTGGAACACGGATGCCGAACACACCGGTGCTCCAACAACTCAATCTGCTCAACTAAATCCTGATGAAGCTGTCCTCTTGGCTGACCATTGGGTTCCTTCATCTTCTTTTTTGGGGTACCTGCTCTGTATGAGGGCCAGCTTGGTCAGGTATGCAGGTGGTCCTCATGCTTTGACATAGTCACACACCCTGCACCATAAAACCCAGATACCTAACACCCTATATCATATCCCTAAACCTCAAACAGCTTTTAAACGCTAGACGCTCCCCTTCATCCCGTTGCAGGCTTCGCTCTTGGAGGGAGATCGCTCTGCACCAAAACAGCTACTGGCATATGGACGGTGCTTTGGCCAAAGGGTTAAGAGAGGCCATGCATGTGGCTTATCGGCTTTCGCAAGGGTTCAAATGTGCTTGTAGGCTTTCTACATTTCCCGCTTCCTATCAAAAGCTTAACAGGCCAATGCCAGACTGACTTTTAGTACACTAAGGAAAAAGCATGCCGATTTGGAGTACATCCCCATAGCGTGTGTGCCGAACTTTGGGTGCCTCCTCTATGCCCGTCTTGTTGCCGGATCAACCTGATTCAAGAAGAAATACGTAATCATAAGTATTCACGTATTGGACATTTGCACCCCGGAAATACGGGGGCGGGGTCGAGTGGGCATCCTTTTTAGTGTCGAGTGGGCATCTTTTTTAGGATGGAGTGGGCATCCTTTTTGCGTCAAACA